TGTCACACGTTGTGTACTGTCGGCGGCAGCACGTTAGGAGTCCGCCAGGTGCCCACGGGCCTTGCCATGAAGAACCCCGCGGCAAGTCAGCCCATAGCGCCTGGGTCAGTCCCGTGACCTCCCTGCCAGAAAAAGAAAGAAGTATTCGCCACTTCACGTGGCCTCAAAGTGCACCTAGCATGGCAAAACGCACGTTGGGCTAACATCACCAGCACTCAGTGGCGAATGACGGCTGTTTCTCTTGGGAGGGAGTACGTGCACTGCCGCATGCACCGTAATTTAAATCTGTTTCGCCCCCCCCCCCCACCTCTTTTTTATGAATTAAAGGCCACAATTGTGCTCGCGTACGCAGAGCAACGCGTTGGACGTAGCAGCACGGGCACGTTGAGACCAGCTGTTGTGCTGTGTTGACAGCGCACGGACACAGGGGGCAAAGCGGGAGGAGGCTCGCTCAGGCTCCGGTATCGCGACCGCACACGCTCGAGACCGGTAAACACGCTCGTTCGTAAACACGTGCCGCTGCCAGATCCCAACCTAAATGTCACAAGTGCTCGAATGCAGCCCAAGCACAAGCGGGTGCAAATCGCGTCGGCGAGAACGGTTTTCGAAGGCGCTAACATCGCTCGCGACACTGTACAGTGTCCTGAACTGATTTCGCAGTGATGGTGCTCACACATCGGATACCCTACGTAGAACGCTATTGTAGGGACCCCCCCCCCCCCATGCTCCCACGCCTCCAACTTTCAATGCGAAACCTTCCGAGTTAGAGGAGAGACGCCGACGAGAGATGGCGATGAAGTGAGATGGGACAATCACGGCGATGAATTAAATGCAATCGGATGATTTCAATATGTTTGTTAAGCTCTGCATTTGAGTACATATTAAGATGAAGGCTTTTGCGACCAATATTATAAATATTTTTTTGTTAGATCGCGTAAATGTTATATTGATGCGATCTCATCCAAAAACTTATATTATGGATTTGAGTACATTCTTGATGCACCCCGATCCTTTTCCTGAATGTGAGACCCGTTGAGTTACTTGGGGACCTGTGCCTTTGCTTCGTTTGCCTAGCGCAACCATTGGCCACATGTAACAATATTTTGTGAAATTAATTTGAATGCAATTCTCATGATGAACTCAATATACAGTGTGATCCATGAATAGACATTCTACTCAATGACAGGGAGATATATTGTATTTCAGAGTCTCTTCGTGTCCCCCACCCATCTCAATCCGCGTATTAAATATTTTAACACTTCCCGGACACGTGGCCACCACCATCCTCCTCTCTACGATACGGAAGCCATCGCTTCCACAATTTCCAATCACCTGTTGAGAAGAAAGAGGGTGCTTCTAAATCACTGGAATATTATCTATGAAGGCCTCGCCACTATAAGGCCAAATAGTTCGCCGCGAAAAAAAACCTCCCTTGGTTTCAAGGCTTCTTCAGGGGGGTTTGCAATGGATTGTTTGGCAAACACCACGAATGAGTGGCTTGCTTCAGTGTTGAAGGAGACCGGAGATCTTGGAGAAAGCCCACCACGTGTACGAGTGGCTGGATGGGGGCGGGACACTCAGCACTGCCATGTCCCGGCCACACCTCGTAGCCTCGTGCCTGCAACACCTGGCAAGCCCTGGTGATGTCTCAACCAGTTCTGGGTCCCATCATTCGTAATCCGCAACTGACCAGAGCACTGCATCTGGTCAATACTCCCAACGGGCAAGGTGGCGGTGGGGAGTCCTTAATCCTGCAGGGGATTAACAATGGATGTAAATTGTCGTTATTTATTATTTCTTTGTTCCTACAAAACAATCTGTATCGGGTTGTACTGTGTGTTGCTCGGCACGATGTCCGACGTTTTTCCCCAATTCCTGAAGCAACTCCCAGCATGGGCAATCAAAACTTCGGACATCACGCGGTACGATCCGAAAAAACATCACATTTGGAGGGCTATTAAGCAGAGCCCCGAAACCCTACGCCATGAGTTTAAAATGCACAGTATTTATTGGTAGTTACGACGGCCTCAAAGCACGTCTTGGCCACATAAGTCGAAGAGTCTCATTTCGTGTTACATAATCAAAGTGTCTGTAGTAATTTGGATGAAGCCGAAATTGGGGAGAAGTTGTTAACCGCGATTATTTTTGGCAACTTTCGCACATTCTCTGTCCCAAATCCACATTCAACTGTCGGTCTGAAAATAGCATCATCTGTTAGCCCGCGGATTCCTTCCACAATTAAACGGCTTTAATCCTCGCATTGTATTGTCTATGGAGAGTGGGACCTGTGCCCTGCGAGAAATTGCCAGCCAGCACCGATAGCCGGTAAACCAATCACGCATTATTCCCATCTGGTTTCCAATCCAGCTGGACTTAAAAGTACAACTTTTGAAACTGGATGAAGTTCACTCCGCATGGAGAGCGTCTCCATGCGTCGGTTTTACACATGCACAGAAACGATGTGCCTTTATTGCTGAATTGATTCGAATGAGAACCCTTAAACTTTCTGTGCTGTGTAACTTGGCGTAGTAGCCACGTATCACATTTTGAGAGAGAGAACACAAAACATGTTTGGTCACTTTGTTTTGTACTGGTCTCTATTCTCATCGTGCTATCCGGTATCGTGGGACAAAGCATCAATGTTGGACTCTCGCCGAATATGGCAACCCCTGCCTTGCAACGCTCAGGTGGTCTCAGAACTGAAAACATGCTTTGTGTGGCATGTTTAACCTCTACTCAATAGGTGGGTATGCTCTTTCACATTTTTCTATAAGATCTGAGTTTATCGCACGAGATTCATGCCGAGTCTTAGAGCTGGAATTTAGTCCAATGCATTCTAAAACAAAGTTAGTGACGTAATTGTTGTTGACGTCGTCCTTGATGATTGGGCTGAGACCATAAACTCTCTACACTTGAGAAGCCGACTTAATCGTAGGCAGCAGAAACCAGGACTCGAACCCAGGGTCTCAATGGTGATAGGTCAGTATGCTGACCTCCGAGCCATTGGCCCACCTCAGCTTTCTCATTCATTCCGAACCAGATGACTTCTTCATTTGTATGGCTGATGTAGATGCAGAGCAACAGCTACAATTTCACATTCAGGTGGTCAAGCAGGATAACCGAGTCACGATCAGTGGAGTGTATCGCTGTGATGTCTCATTTACATTTCTCTGTTAAGGCCAGTTGTCCGGACAAATCTATATATATTCCCAGTGTATAGAATATATTGTTAATTGTTTTTGCTTGATAAAGATATTTCAAATTACTGAAACAATTTCATTCAGTATGCTATATATATCACCTTAACGAAGCCATTATATAATTCTCATTCGCCAACATTGCTGACCATCTTCACATCTCCTCCCTCACTCCAATATAATCGTTTGCACAATTATACGTTTTATATACGGTGAATTATAAAATAAAATAAAAACTGCCACATGTGCTGCTGGACAGGAGGTGATGGGTGGGGCTTGATGACGTCATCGGCATCGTGCGAGATGGGGGCCTGTATGGGGTTTCCCGAATTCGGGAGTCGGCCAACTATTTAAAGGGTGCCTGAGTAATCGACAACATTTTTGTTGTTGTATTAATATAATTAATGGAGGACTGAGTGTCCCAGCTAATCTTCGGTATCTGCAGATCCATCCTCGTGCTACTTTTAGTTCTCGAGTGGAAAGCGAAATTACAAACATTTTTCTCTTAAATAGATCAAGAGTCGCGAGACGGTAACGATTTTGAAAAGTATTGTTATTCAGCCAACCATCGATAAGCGTCTCTTGCGAGCCATCACAAGCATTTAAACTAAATGCTCATATCTGCTTACCAGGTCGTGCCCTCTCAGCAATCCAACGCGTTTTATGGAAGGGGCAATATGTTTGTGTGTGTGTGTGCTGTTTTCGCTGTATTGGGAATGATTGTTCTACTTTTGACTCTCAAGTTATAAGCGGAACGACCAACATCTTTAAATAAATCGGCGCTACTGCCGTGTGATATCGTGAGGCTGGAGCGGTGGCGTGGTGATTTCCACGCTACCTCACAAACCCGGCCACCTAGGTTGTATTCCTCACCACGGATACCAACGATGGCGAGCGATGTCTAAACCGCTCCTGTCCCCAACCACATTCACAAACTGGCACTGACCAGCGTGGTGAAGTATGGGCAAACAACCCCCACGGCCTTCATCCAGTAATAGATTTATTGTGAATTAGTATAAGGGTGTGGAGGCGGTGGCACAGTGGATAGTTCACGTCCTGCATTATACATCCGACGAACTGAGTTTGATTCTCAGCCAAGGCTAACACAAGTGACACGTGATATCAACTTGTCTTAGGCTCTACCCCCCCGACCAACTCACAGTGGCCGGCGTGCTGAAGTATGGTCAAACAACTCCCATGACCGACACAGCGTTGGGAGGCCATCACCGGTGTATTATTTATAATCATCATCAATCCATTATTATCATCATAATCATAGCGAAATGCTATCGTGGTATGGGGGCATGTAGTGAGCGCGGAGCATGTTAGTGAGCATGTAGTTTGAGCGTGTTGGTTAATGGGGCTTGGTCAAGCAGCGGTTTTCCTATCGGGCGTAAAGAACACCGTGGCGGGAGGGAGATACGGGGGAGGGGAGGAGGGCATTGGGTGGGGGGGGGGTACATTGGGTGGGGGGGGGGTACATTGGGTGGAGGGGGTACATTGGGTGGGGGGGGTACATTGGGTTGGGGGGGTACATTGGGTGGGGGGTACATTGGGTGGGGGGTACATTGGGTAGTGGGGTACATTGGGTGAGGGGGGGTACATTGGGTGGGGGGTACATTGGGTAGGGGGGTACATTGGGTGGGGGGGGGGTACATTGGGTAGGGGGGTACATTGGGTGGGGGGGGGTACATTGGGTGCGGGGGTACATTGGGTGGGAGGGGGGGGGGGCTACATTGGGGGTGGTGCGCGCACACGTGATTTGCTGCGCGCATCCTTCCAGTATTTAAGAGCTCCCCGTGAGCTGCAAGCCAGAAGGCGGTGAACCGGAGGATCGGGAGGGAGCGTGAGCGGGCTGGTGTCTGTGTGTGTGTCGTGGGTAGAGAGGCAGGGGCCTGGCGTTGTAAGCGCGGGGACGCTGTTTGTGCGTCGCTAACTTTTGCGAGCGAACGGAACGACGCGGCGCGGTTGGGTGACTTCTTAGCGGGCTCGGCAAAAAATAAAAACTTCCGAGCAGTTTGACGCCCTCCCTCCCTCCCTCCCCCACGCTGTGTTACACCACTCGTTGTCCGACGTGCACGAGCGGGTACGCGTTTGTGCGTGTGCGTGTTCGTCTCTACGCTGTGAAAGTAACATCGGAAGAAACACGGCAAAGATGATCTTCGGAAGCACGCTGGTGGCCACATTCAACGGCAAGGGAGCGGGAAGCTGCAGGAAGGAGCGCTCCACGCGTGTGCCCGTAGCTCCCAAAGTTGCGTTTCGGTCCCAGGTTGAGTCGCTGGTTCCCCGCGAATCGATCATCCCCGACGCAGCAGCAGAGGCAGAGGCAGCCACATCCCACATGGACATCGCGCCCGGCAGGCACAAGGCGGGTCAGGATTCGCGCCGTGAGTTGAACTACCGATCTTGAAGTTTGCAAGACTTTCACGCATTCACGGCAATGATATATACACACACACGACGGGTTCTCACACTCTTCTTCGATTCCAAGCCGCATGCGATTTATCGCAAGCTCCGCATGAATGCTTCTCTTTTTTTTGTACAGCGTTTTTGGCTTCACATCCGCTTAGTGGGTCGCGTAGACGCGGTTACTCTTTGCAGGCGTGGAGAGTACACGCCACTATATGGCTATATGAATGTTGCAGAGACGTTGTGTCTTTGTTATACTTCACTTCGTAAAAGTGTTTCAACGTCCGTTTGTGTATGCGTGGGTGGCCTCGATCCGGTTTCATAATTATTCACGCAAAGGTAGTCAACAATGTATTAGACTGGACGCTATTCAATTACACATCTTGATGCATGAGTGAGGCTTTACCTGGTTAATTAAATTCCAGGAAACATTTCACACCGAATACACAGACAATAGACGTCCTCCTCCTGGTACTCATCGGTTTTACAGCTGCTTTTACAAAATATAATTTAACAAACATTGCATCCTCGTTATATGCCATGCGATTAGTCCGAGAGCTTGTTTAACAAATTGGCATTGTGGATTACCCCTGCACTATACTCTTTGGTTCTATTCGGTAAAGTCACGTAGGTAAAAATAAAATAACAAAAAATCACGATGTTTCGGCCACAACACAAGTGGCCTTCATCAGGTGAAGGGACTGTACAGAGGGCTGTCCTCTGGACAGTCCTCTGTACAACGCTGTCCTCTGGACAGTCCCTTCACCTGATGAAGGCCACTTGTGTTGTGGCCGAAACGTCGTGATTTTTTGTTATTTTATTTTTACCTACGTGACTTTACCGAATAGAACCAAAGAGTATGGATCCTTGCAGTCACGAAAGCTTCAAATCTACCCCTGCAGTGCTTTTGAAATTTTGTGTGGGTGGCGGTGGGGGGGGGCAGTCGTTGGGTTTGGACTTTCATCCGCCTGCTGACAACGGGGCGGTGACTTGGCATAGCCGTGGCGCGTTCGCCGATTTTTTTCAAGAGTGCCAGTCCAGCGGCACCCCTAATTAATACTGCCGCCTGCTTCACACTGGACATTAAAGATCCCCGCTTTGATGCCATTCGCAAGAGCGGGCCGCCACTGTGTTTCGGCGTCAAAGTCACTCCGCACATTACTCAACAGGGATAGACTTAGAAACCATCGCCCCGAACTGCAAACAAAAACTTGGCAGGACCCTCCTTGAAAAACACGTCTTGAGACTCCGTGAGATTGTTTTTCTGGCTAAACAGGGTGTTAAAAAACACACGTGCGACCTTTGCTGGGAACTTTGTGTACTGCAGCCGCAGGCTTCCCCAACAAGCCAGAGTGACCCGTGCATTGGAGGCAATGGAAAAGTACCGCGGCTGACATGCACCCGCACACCGCAGGGGGGCAAGGCGCTGAGATGCCACCGCCGACGCTATTGTGAATTCGGTACCGCAGATGGTGGTCAATGCGTGTTTATCGATAACATATTATGTATATAATAATACTTTCAATCATGCTTTCCCACCTGATAACGGACGCTTGTGTTGCGCCCGAAACGTCGTGATTTATTTTATTTATACCTACGTGACTTTACCGAAAGAACCAAAGAGTAATAATAATACTCTTTCATTTTATATAGCGTCATTCTTGCTCATGGCATCACGTAACGCTGTACATTAATTATATATTTGGAGACCAAATCCCATATACAGCCACTACCAAGCAAATTGAAACCCTGCAACCAAGCAGAATAAAATATAAATAAACAAATTAATGGCACCAAAACTAAACGCTCATATTGGTGGTTTTAGATAACACCTCTTCGCCGGGAGAGGCTTGAGTGGTGTGTAGACCTGAGTAGCTATGCTGCGGTATGGGGGCACCCATACTGGCCAGGTACCTCGGGTGAGAGGCTCGACAAAGAATGGTCCCACATTGACCAGTGTAGTGAAGTATGACGATGATGAAATGATAACATACTTATTAAATAACGTCATTGAATGGTTCAACTTTATTTGCGATTCAAAGATGTTGGTACTATTCAACTTCAATAAATCTCAGGTGGTCCCAAGATGTAAACTATTTGGTCTGGGGCCCATGGACTTATGAGTGTCGTAGGTTGCACGAAGGTCAAACCAAAACTTTTTTTATTTTATTCTACCAGGTAAGGCCCGCTGGGCTATATATCTCTTTTCCAGGAGCGACTTGGCCACAATTTGATAGCTCTACGAAGTGGAAATGTATCGCAGACAAATACTCTAAACTCATGTTTCTAAGGTAATATTATCCGTGAAACCTAACGCTCCTTTCCAGAGGACGACACACTCGTATAGAGCCATATACACGGGCCGAGTCGAGATTCATCTTGTTGAAATAAGTTACAATATCTTAGGTTTCTCATATTGAACAATAATAAATTGCAATATTATAAAGGCATAATGGCCTGCCTTCAGCAGTGGTTGGATCATGGCTGATGCTGAACAAAAGTATTATATGCCTGCATGGGCTGTAATAACAAAACAAGCTTAATTACTGGTCGAACGTTACCTGCACTTCAACTGCCCAATAAATACCAATAGCAAAGCCCTTTGTTTGCAAGCGGGAGTCTGTTTTTCAGTAGGATTCCTGCATTGGATGAATTGTTTGGCTAATTCCACGAATGCCCGGTGACACTCAAAGCTCCACACAGAAAGAAAAAAAATCAATTTCTGTACTTTGATCTCATAGCAATCCCACATCTCATGCTTAAAAAAACACCTTTTTTTCCCAAGCAGTCATCGATCCAAGCACTAAACAAGCTTCGCCCTGCTTGGCTTCCAAGATCTGACGAGATCGGAACACATTCTAATTAACTAAGAGTTACATTTTGATTTAAAGCTTTCGTGACTGCAGGGATTCATATTCTTGGTTCTTTCGGTAAAGTCACGTAGAAGGGAAACAATAAAAATATAAAACAAGAATATAGCTAAGAGTTAATATATGTGCCACTTACAAGAGACTATGGATAGACACTCAAAACCCAGCGTTCGAGACCCACTGCATATTTTGCGAAGTGCACGTGAGACTTCGCCTACCTTAGGTGTCCCTGTGTGGGTATCCAATTTAAGAACTCGGGAATCAGAGAAACCGGGAGATTGGATACAGGTCTCATGACACGCTTAGCACGGGCACATGCAAATGAAGGCTGTTGTTTATATCCCCGTTGCGGTAAAATCGCAACGACGCTTCTGCATTGCTTATGCAAATTGTTTGTGCATACGAGCGGACGGTGTGATTATTTGCATGCTAATGAAATATTTTTAATTAAATGCCATTTTTACGAGTATTTATGTATTAATAGGCTGCGGCCTAACGGTCGATATATCGGTGTAGTTGCGTGCAAACGTTGCTACCCAATTATCAATCACTGCTCTTAATTAAGCATTAGTTTTTAAGCAGGAGCCAATTTCACTATTAATCAAACTTATACATTTCCCCAGGTATAACAACCCCCTGTGACAATTAATCTCTGGAATTGAGATCTGGGAATTGTTAAACGTATGTAGAATGCGTTTCCAATTAGTGTTATAAAGTGAAATCTCTCCCTGAATTATTTGACTTCTATCGTTGCTATTTCAGCATTCCTGGTTCACCTGTGCATGCCTCCCACTGAACTCGAGCACTATCATGCAAATACCGACGACACACCGCTGGCTTGACTTGTCTACCAATTGAACGCAAGCTCAAACACTGTAATGGCGTGGGGAGGCCTTCATCCAGCAGTGGATTTACAAAGCCTTATAAAAATGACATGAAACAAATGACAAAAACGATGACATTGAAAGCCAATTGCAATTCCTGAACCTTGTGCCATTCCTTTCCTCTCGCTTCTCACTCTACACGTGGAGCCATGCACTTTTAAATCTAGATAGAAAACTCATTTCTTAAGAACAGCTTGTTGTGTTTAGCTTGTTGTCCTTCCGATTAGCACGGTCGGCTACGTACGGTGCGAAAGAAGTTCAACATACACACGATAACGACGACGGTGACGATGACGACACCCTGTTCCTGCAGACTTCGACTCATTCGAAGCCGCCGGCGACCCGTGGGCCGATGGGTTCGAGTCCAGATCCCCTGGCTCCGACCCCTCGTGGCTGGGGCCGGGCCCCGCTCACGGGGCGTCCCTCTCGGCCGCGTGCTCCCACCTGGTGTCGCGGCTCGAGGCGGGCCTGGCGGCCGCCAAGTCCGGGACGCTGCGCTGCGACACCATCCTGGCGCCCGAGCGCCTCCTGCAGCGGGTGGCCCGGCTGGTGGTGCGCGCCGCGGAGCGCGAGCCGTGCGGCTTGGCCGGCGCCGTGGTTCACGTGCTGCTGCTGCCGCCGCTGGAGAGCGCCCCTCCGCAGTCCTCCTCCTCCTCCTCCTCGTCGTCCTCCTCCTCGTCGCGCGACGTTCCGCCGGCGCCGTGCCTGGCGCGTCTGGAGCTCGACCCGGGCCGGGCGCCGACCTTCGAGGTGACCGTCCTCCTGCGCCGGGAGCGAGCGTGGCGCTGGAGCGACGCTCTCCTCCGCCTGCCGCTGCTGCCCCCCGGCTCGTGCCTGTGGCGCTTGGTGGCGGCGCGCAGCTCGGCGGAGCGGACGGTGCGGCTGAGCGGCGGCTTCAAGGTCGTCAAGCGAAAGCTCTACCGTCACCCCGAGGAACACTGTGCCCTGGAGGAGGAGGATGTGGAGGAGGAAGATGCATTGAGGACTCCTGTGATTGGCTGAGGACTCCTGTAATTGGCTCCGATGTGGAGAGATTTGGGACTCTGGAGGAAAGATGTTGGCAGGTTCGGTGCACTTTGTATGGTGACACCAGTGGGTTGTTTTGAGAGGGGATCGTTTTATATTGTTGTTAATTTGGCATTCAAATTCAGGCACCCTCGATGCCATTGTAATGTTACGCGAATCGTTTTGTGACGCTGCGCTGGCAGTGGTGCACAAGGCAGTGTTGTTGACGAGCGTGCGAGTTCTTTCGTTGCGGTATTATACAGGCGGTGTGTGGAGCGGTGGCGCAATGGTTATCTGGATCCGGTGACCTGAGGCCAGTCGACATCTGAACCGGTCCCGGGCTCCCCCTCCACACCCCCCCCCGACCCCACACATTCAGCAACCCTCACTGGCCAGGGAGGTAAAATATGGTCAAACAACCCCCACAGACGACACGCACTTCACCCAGCAGTGGATTGACAAAGCAACCGTGAATAATTTGAACTCTTATTTATACATCAAAATCAAAATGTAAAGGCATGAATGTCAGGCGCTCAGATTGATAACAAAGTGCAAAGTGGTGGCGCTTTTAGACGTTACCCCCCCCCCCGCCCACACTATTTTCAGCGCCAACTGACCGATTCCAGAATTAGTTTTATATTTTAAATAAAACCAGAGCTCTCCGATTTGCGTTGGTGACTTTTTGGCCCCTGCCTCAATGGCTTCTGCAGTGCAACTTCAGGCCACCCCCTTCCTGTGGCAGGATGATGAAATTCAATCTTGGAAAATCACTGGCGGTAACGGACAGGCACACGTACAGTAGGAAAAGAAAACGCTAAAATAATAACACTGGTGGCTTTTTAAACTGTGATACGTACAGTATTTAGGTTAGAGTCACACCACCGCCTCATTCCATGGCATTCTAATAATGTACTTTACCTCGTAAAATAAAATAAAAGTTTAACAAAGAGAGATAAAGAGATCCCCTGCATAGCCTTAACAGACTGTTGGGGCAAGTGCTGTTAGCGAGCACCTATGAAGGCCGGCACGGCACACGAGGGGATGGGTGGCCAGCACCACGCCCGACCGCCTTTGTCTCCCCAGTGGCGATGTTTAAACATCGTACCAGGTAATCATTTGAGGCTGAGTCGACCGAGCAGAGTCCCGGGACCGGTTCAGATAATCGTCACTAGTGTTGGCCCAAACACACATTTGAACATCGTCTCTGCCATTCAGTAATTCAATTACAATCCATGCCCCATATAATAATAGGGGTTTTCCCCTTTTTTTCTGGCAACAAAACTGAAACCTTTTTATAAGGATTCATGTCTGCATTAACCACAATACCTGCAGTCAAAATGCAAACAAAAAAATGCTATGATAATATATGCATTGTCCTTGAAACTGGATTCATGTCTGCAGACATGAATCCTTGTAAAAAAGGTTGCAGTTTTGTTGCCAGAAAAAAAGGGGAAAACCCCTATTATTACATTTTGGTACTGGCAAAGGAGGTCTAATGAATCCATGCCCCCTTTGTCAATCCACTGCTGGGTGAAGACTTCCCCACGCCCTGTGTGGTCACGGCGGTCCTCTCGCTGTACCTGACCACACCGCTTCCTTGCGGGGGGGGGGGGGGCCTGAAGGAATTTGGTGACTGGTCCAGGGCTGGTTCCGCGGTAATCCGTGGCCGAGAATATAATTCTAGGTCGACGGGTTCGTAGCACAAACTCCTCCCGCCGCTGCCCCCCATCGTTCCTTTTGACGGTAACAGGAATAGTTCGACGGTGAAATTGGGCAAACCTGGTCGTCCTGGAAGGCGCTTTGGATGCGGAAGAGGTGAATGGTTTTGGGGAGGGGGTGGTGGTGGTGGCGGGGAACGTTTTGGTGGTTTGAGGCACACGCGGTGGGAGATTAGAGGGGGGAGTGGGGGGGGGAGATCCGTCCAAATTTTCTGTCACGGTTTTTACGCAACACTTAGGCCGGTCGTGGCTAAATATTAACCCAAGTGAAAGCATTAATCTTGAAAGAAAATGTTTAAACAATTGGGTCTCCAGTGGGCTCAAACATCCCAAAAATAAACACGCAGATGCACTCGCACTTGGGGGGTAGCTAATAGGCTAAATGTGGGCCACATTTTGCGGTCTCGATATACATCTGCGTTCACAGCTCCCACAAGCCTCTTCACAATTTGGATGCAAATGTAGGTCGGCATGTGGTATCGTTTTAACACGGGCCACCTGTTTGGAGGAAGCGAGAAGTTGTGGGAGGGGGGGGGAAAGGGAGTGGGGGGTCACTGACTTTGCTGCCTTGCACTTTATTCAGTCGGGACACCTGTTGTACATGTACTCTGTGTGTCCTCTAAACGCATGCGTGCTCACGCGCGCGCGCACGTATGTGCGGCAGCTATTACCCAGAGCACTTAGCGGCGTGGACATGCATTTGCACACGTGACTCAGTTCATAACACAAAGATCATCATTAGGGTTATCATCGCGCTTGTTTACCCCGAAAAGCCTTTGCCGAGTCTCGTGACTCATTTTCAGGAGGGTCTTGCCAAGTTTTCGCAGGAGGATGTGATGATGACGATGATTGGTATGCATTATCCCAATTGGGTAATTTGCGGATATTTTTTTTTTAATTTGGCGAATTTGACCCGTGATGCCACCTACACTTGGCCTACTTTTTGCGAATCCCGCCTGTGGATCATTTTATCGGCCACTGTGAGTGCAGCAGACGGTGCGCACCTCCTATAAGCCTCCTATAAGCCGATCCGTTGTGTGGTTCGGGTGGCCGCTGTCGCTGCAGTGTGGGGGCGGCGGGGGGAGGGTCATCTTTAATGTCCCCACGAGCGGACAGAGGGCGCGCACGGCGACCAGCCGCTGTTCGGAAGCGGTTGATGGGAGCGCCACAGTTCTCTTGGCATATCAAAGATTCGTAACTATGTGACTGCAATGGGTTTATGTGAAAAAAAATAAAGAATGTTTTTTTTCTTCTGTACGGTATTTCGTATTTTCTTTTTGGACGCTTTTTTTAAATCATTGTGCGCACACGCATACAACGTGGATTGGGAGTAATGCTTTAAAACTAATTTCGGCCAATACTGTAAATCTGAAATGCTTCCGGCTGTTTAAGGACGACTGAATGCTCATGCGGACTCCTTAAGAAGAAAAAAAACGAATTCGTTACCATCACCACCAGCCATGGTCAATTCACTGCTGGATGAAGGCCTCCTCCCCGAACCGCCACCTTCACCTCCTTCCAGGGTCCTGAGAAGTAGTAAATCAATTTTGTGCCTGCAAACAAACGTTGCAACTGCCAAACTTCCCAAAGCATCGAGAGATCTGCTCGTCATATGTTTAAGTTGCCCCTAATCGGTGCGAATATAGTTTTAGAAAGACACGCTAGTGTAATGTGCGTGCGTGTATGTGCAGGTGCATTGTGGGCAGCAGTGGTGCAGCGGTTAACACGCTGCGCTACGAACCCGGCGACCTGAGTTTGATTCCCGCTAACGGCCAACGCCAGTGACGATTTTCTGAGCCGCTCCTGGGCCTCCCCTAGGTCGACTCAGCCTCAAATTAGTACCTGGTGCGGTGTGTAAACATCGCCACTCGGGAGACAAAGGCAGCCGGGCGTGGTGCCACCACCCCCTCGTGTGCGGTGCCAGCCTTAATAAGTTCTCACCAACAGCGCTCGCCCCAACAGTCTGTTAAAGGCGATACGGGGGTTTTTTTGCCTTCGCTCCGAGCAGAGAAGATTGAGCTTCGTGCTGCCTTGACAATTGTCTTTTTGTTCTGAATGTATTTCTCGTTTTTTTAAAGCGTGACGTATAGTCCTTGCTCTAAGATGCCAGCGATGCGCCTAGACCCACAGCGTGAGCCTTTACATGAACTCAAATAAAATTAACACGGAAACAAAAAGTCTGTTGGAGCACACTGCGTTGTAAAAGTGGTCGAGTGTCGTCTCTATTTTCCTGGATAAAAAGGATTACGGCGAAGGATCGTTAGAGATGGCGGAGGATTGGTGAGGCTTTCGTCCAGCGGTGGATTGACCATGGCTGTTGATGATAATGAAGAGAATATTAAAAATGAGAGAATATTAATAAAGGGCAGGCTTTTCAATCTCAAATTCTCACAACTTACCATTGTGTGGATTTTTTCCGTCCAGTTCATCGAATTACCAATTCAGGAATAAATGTGGACGATACAACATTTCATTCTCACACATTTTAGCATCTAAGCGATACATTAGACCATCCTGAAATGTAACATAGACTCACTCGATGATACTTTAATTGCTGGGGAACAAACTCAGGTAACCAGGTTCAAAGCTCATTGCACTCAGCACTGCACCACTGCTCAAGTGGGTACATTCACCCTTTCCCGTTCCGAGACGTCTGCAAGTTACAGGGAGGGTCACGTTCACCACTGGATCTCGGAACGCGAAAGCGGTCAGCGTTGATTTTATTCAGAGAGACGAAGTAGTGCCATTGTTTTTAAATACATTTTACTCACCGCAGAGAACTGTAGCGACACAACCGCACTCGATAATAGCTGGCGCCAAGCTGTACCACACGCCCTCCCGCATGACACTGTGGGAGCCTTGGTACCAATCAAACTTATTTTATTTTTTCTTCCGATTGCGTTCCAATGAAGTATGTATACGTCATCAGAATGGGAAAGGGTTAATAGGTAGACTGGTAGAGACATTCATTATGCTTATTACTTCTATCGTGTGTGCGAAACGTACACATTCGGTGCTTGGACTAAAAATTGCCGGTCATGCGATTTCCTAAATGAGACCTCGTGACAGTTGCCTGCTACGCTGTGGTTATACTGAGCATAGCGCTTGCATAGCAAGCGCACTGTGGTGTCACGGAATAGTCTCGCACGCCTGTGAAACTCTCCACGCTGCTTAATTTACCCTGAGTGTGTGACGAGATGTTGAGAATAATGGGACCTTAGACAAAGCCAAGCTACAGCCGACTCAATCGCTAGAAATCCATGCTTCATCTATTCATCCATCAATAATTATCACTGTTATAAGCATTGTCAATGTTATCACCACTTGTGGAATCATCATCATCATCTTCGGGGCAGTGACATGGCGTAGGGTTTTTCGCACGATTTCAGCCAGTTGCAAAGGTTCAAATCCCGCGGCTTCAGAGTGAGTGGACGTTAAAGGTCCCCGTGGATGTTCTTCAAACAAGAGTAGCCGATGTGTGTCGGTCCATTTTTGCGCACAAATTACTAATTTCGGAAACAGAGTGCAAACACGATGACGTTTGCCAAAGTCTATTAATGAGTGATGATGGTGCTGAGTTGACACTGGCCAGGAATGCAACTTGTACAATCTGACAAACGGGAGGCCTCCTGTTCAGTCATAAAGATGCAACTGTGCTATATTACAGCCAATAGACCACTTGAGAAAACTGATGTGCCCCGTTATAACTTCACCATAACCACAATTCTCAATGCAAATGCTATTCACATGACGTGTGAATATTGAGTCGACTGCGACACATTTGGAGCACATCACTAATTTTCATAGCGATGCCAAATCTGTAAATATAAGGAGAAAAAATCCGAGAAATATCACAGTTTAAGCCCTCCAAAAGACTCAATTTGTCCCCACATGTCACTCAGGATTATCGCTTTGCAACGCTATTGCCAGCTCTCAATTGAATAATAATTAGAGGAATGAAAAGAGACTATACATTGATAAATCCCCAAACTTTAGCTTGGTTTAATATTTGTTGTCACGTGTTTTTTTACTTACTTCAAAGGTACATAATTATCTCAGCATCAACATCCAGTCAGACAGAGAGCTACTTGACTGCTACCTAATGCTAAAATTACTCAAGTGATGACCGACAAACAGGCTCACAGACGGTCATTAATCACATCATCAGTACCACGTGGTCCACCGGGGAAATGAACCGACGGCATCAGCTCGCGTGCAGGCGCTGGGTGAATTGT